GCGCCACGGTGTGGCCTTTACGAGAACTGCCGACCCGGCTCACACCAAGACAGCAGCGCAGGTAGATCACTCTGGGAAGAATGTAATCAAAATATGCTAATTTTAGTATGTTCTGTACCACAGTTACTTCAACTAAAATCAAAACGGTGCAAGTTCGAGGATTTTTAAGTCCAACGTTTGACTAGAAATCAAAGAAATTGACAGGTCTTGAAACTTCAAAACGGTTTTTATTTTTATCCTGATGCATGCTCAGTTATGCTGCTTTTATTTTTCATTTGCCTGAAAAGATCTATCCACCTTATTCCTGGGGGCTCTGCTGTATAAATGATTATGGGTACAACTTCCTGTCAGACAGGAAGTAGCAGTCAGCCATGGCAGCAGAGCACGAACCGCAGATTATTTGAAAGAAATTTACATACAGTTTAGCAGATATTTTGTTTTGTTTACATTTAGTTAACCATAAAGTTTATTAAAATAGCTGTGCTGAGTTCAGGTACCCGTTGTGTTCATGGCTGCAGAACAACCAGACCAAACTAGATGAACTAAATATGCTACTGTTGGAGTTAACTTACTTTATTATGCTGAGACCCCAGGTCTTGTCTGCACAAAGACGGACTAGTTATGGACTGGTTCTGTACAGATGAGACAAGCCTAGCTGCTCTTACTACCGTACCCACCACTGCACCCAGTATCCACTGGTTAACTGGTCACCATTAACTTCACACAGACTCTCCCACTGGTGCATCTTCATCTTTAAATCTCTTCTTGGTCTGCTGCCTTCATACATCTCCTCCTACATGTCTCTGTGTGAGTGCAGCTACAGCGTGCGCTCTCAGGACATCATTACCTGCAGCGTCCCCTCAGTGAGGACTGAACTAGACAAAAGGACCTTCTCCTACTTCGCTCCTGTTTCCTGGAATATCTTACAAAAAGATCTGAAGCTCTCGACCTTTGACCTCTCTAAGTGGCTTCAAACATCTGATAAGTTCCTGCAAGAACCAACACAGACATGTTCCTGGTTTCAGTTTTCTACACAGCCTCGTAATCTAGCTGTTTTTTTTGCTACATTTCCTTTTAATTATCATTTTGTTTTCAATTGTATAAAAAAATAAAAGTTGTATGCATCAGTTGTGATTGTCCACGGTCGTCATCTTTTGTTTAAATCAGGTCTCTCTTGTAAATGAGTCCTTGTGGCTCAATGGGATCAACCTGTACAAGTAAAGGTAGAATGAATTCAAGAAACGCAGCACAGCGGACTAGGAATAAGGTGGACATCGAAAGAAAAGGGCTCATGTTATATTTGGTCTCTAACTGCTCACTCAAACCACTTCATATCACGTCTCTTAATCAAAGCACCGTAAAGCTGATGGTTGTACGATGTGCCACATTCAGCTGAAAGGACGTGGTTAAAGTTAACCATTTGTTTAAACTCGTTAATTAGTGACGTCTACCAACCCTTGCTTGTTGGAGCCCAACAGAAGAGCTTTCCCTGCAGACTTCTCCATCGCGGTGAACTTCTCCCGACTCTTGAACCACTCCAGCCGGCTCGGTCCGGTGTGACTTCCTGCTCTCAGAACAAAATATCTTCTGTGGTTCTGCTCCAACTTCCCCAGATAGCCCTCCATCACCACGTCCGCTCGTGGCCTGGACGACGCCATTAAAGCCCCGGCCAGAGGGATGGACAAGCGGCTGCTACAGAAGAGCTCCTCGTAAACACCAGAAGACGGCAACTCGTTTGATGGCGCCTCAGAGTCGTCCTGCTCGTATGGACGACTGCTCCGAGGAGGCCGACGGGGAGAGTGGGCTGGCAGCCATGTTTGGGTGGGGCTGCAACGGGGGGACAACGGAGGCGAACCAGGAGGTTGGACTCGTCTTGGGTTGGTGCGGCCATCTTGGCCTTCTGCCATCTCACTCAGGTCAGGTTAAAAACCTGAAATATGAACGCAGACAGAAAGATGGAGAAAATGTTCTTTCCAATTTAAAACCAATTCAACTGAATGTTTCTAGAGTCGTCTTTGGTAATAACTCAGAGTTTAACTCATTATTTGACCTTTTTAGTTACTAAAGCACGTGTAAAATCAGGCGCCGCCCACTTCCTGTATCCAGCGTTCAACTTTAACTCTGACGTCCTGTCCGACGCCTTCTATTGACCTTCACGAACAAAAGGATCCGCGATTAGTTCTACTGGCATTTTAAACTGGGACAGTGAAATGTCCTCAGAGTTACCAGCATATGGACTCAGAAGGTCAATGAACATATATGGACCACAATGCATTGCAAATTATTAAGTGATCAAACGTATTTGTAAAAAAGGTTAACACCCGTCCTGATGTTCACAAACTGTAGGTGTGGTACAATCCCCGATCACTGGGACAGGCGAGTTCATCTGATGTACGGGATCCATTAAAAGAAAGTAAAAAGGTCGCCAGTTCAAATCCCGGGGGGCCTTTCTGGGTTTGCATGCTCTCACCATGCTGCGTGGGTTTCCTCCCACAGACCAAAAACATGCATGTTGGGCTGATTGGTAACTCTAAATTGTCTCTAGGTGAGAGAGAGACTGAATGGTTGTTTGTGTCCCTGTGACGGACTGGAGACCTGTCCAGGGTGTCCCCGCCTCTCACGCGGTCATTGCTGGACATGGGAGACAGTGACCCAAAAAAGAAGAAGCGGGTAAAGATTATTAAATAAAAATTAATTAATTAGTTGAACATTAATTGATTAGTTAATACATAATCAATACATCAATCACAATGGATGGATGGCTCAATCGATCTCAATCGATCTCATTCAGTGGATGGATGGATGGCTCAATCAACCTCATATAGATGATGGCTGGATGGATGGATGGCTCAATCAATCTCAATCGATCTCATTCGATGGATTGATGGATGGATGGATGGCTCAATCAATCTCATTTGGTGGATGGATGGATGGATGGATGGATGGATGGCTCAATCAATCTCGGATGGATGGATGG